CCACTGTTAAAAAATCCATTATGAATAACTGCTTAACGAAAGGGTCCATTTGTTTGCAAATTAATCTTTGAACTAAATTTATTATATAATGCTAAACTATGTATAAATAATTATTATTTATAACTAAATAACATTTTGTTATACCTCAATTAGGATTAAATTAATTAATTGACAAAATAATGTTTTTTTACCTTAAATGAGGTATTTATATCAAAAATAATACAATAATCCTTTAAATGAAAGGATTTAATGCTGGCAGGTAAAAAGTGACCATGGTGCGCAATTAATAATTATCATCGAATGAAATAATGTATGAAACTTAGGGTTGCAACTTTTCATGAAAAGTTGTAATTTTTGAAAAGTTGGGTTTTATTTTTCGGAAAAGTTCGGAAAAGTTGGAAAAGATGGAAAAGTTGAGTTTTTTGTAATGTAAACGTATAAAACATAAATAATGCTTGTCAATGTATTAAAATAATTCTTATGTATTTATATATATAATATATATATATATGTATATATGTATACACAGTAAAAAATTTTGAGTAAAATTTTACTCAAAATTAAATCAAAATGTATTTAATCTAGGTCCACACCAAATTGATTAATTTTTTTAACTCAGTGTGTTTTAGTAAACTATTTCCTTTTTGAGTCAATATGTTTATAAAATAACGTACTAAAGTCCTACAAATTTTGAGTAAGTTCTAGTCATATTTGAGTAAAATTGTAATACATTTTGATTTAAATCCTAATTAAATATACTAAAGTCTTAAACATTTTTAGTAAATTTTAATCAACTTTTGAGCGAATTCTAGTCAAATTTGAGTAAAATTTTAATATATTTTGATTTAAAACCTAATTAAATATAAATAAATTTTTAGTTAAATTTACTCAAAATGGTGTTCTTTCAACTTTAAAAAGTGTTACAATTACTCAACAATTGATTAAATTAAAGTGGTTATAGGGGTTATAGCCAGGTTGAATACAAAAAAAATTAGAGAAAATAAATTTTATTTGAAAATCCATGGGAACAAATGAACAAAACAATGTATAAACTATATTTATAAATAATAAAACAACGGAGTGGTTAATCTTAACTAGGGGATAAAAACTGGCCCTTAGACTAAAAAATGAACAAAACATTATGTGCACATTATAAAAAAAACATATTTTGGTATGACAAAGTATTCATATACTCAGCAATTAAAAAGGGTTTGTCGGAGAGTCCAAATTTTGTTATTACATCGTTAAAAGGAACGTTTGTCTGAAAAAAAAATTGGTTATTAGGTATCTGATATTACCAAAAAACTGTAGTATATACTATAAAATAACGCATAAATGGCTTTAAACCAATGTAAAAGTACCACTTTTTTAAAGTAAGTTTTACATTTATGATTGTTAAATAGGTATACAAATTATGTTGTAAATAATATATGTATTTACTTAAAGTTTAATTAAATTACCTTAAAATTTTGTAAATAAAAGAATATTTAAATATATATTAACAAAAGATGTGTTTGACACTTTTATTAAAGTTAAAAATGCCATTTCAGCAAGAATTTTAAGTCAAGTTAACAACAAAAAAATTGGCACTATTGATAGTGTAATGTTATTGCCAATTTGGCATTCTATTTTTTAATGTGTACCTATGTAGGCAAAATAGTGTTATTATTGTATTGATACAATAATGAATAACTTCTAAGGACTGCGTTGAGACTAATATTAATATTATATTATGTTAGAAGATAAAAATTAAATACAAAATTGCAACTTTTTAATCAAATTTCAATCAAAGTATAGAGAAATTTTTACTCGATATTGGGTAAATGAAGACGCCGGTTATTGTAGAAAATTTTTAGGATTTACCATTCATTATTATTTTTATAAATAAAGCCATCATAATAAGGATTACACCTACCTACTCAAATTCCCAAAATTAAATAGTATCTAGGTATGTACGCTGGGGTTGGGTTACTTACCAAATATCAACAAATTATCTTAAGATGAGATGTCCGCCTTTGCCCACTTTTTGTGGTTTTTCAATTCAAGCACAAACACAAAAATTATTTTAACTATAGTTGTATGTTTCTGACTATTTCCCTCGTCCTAATTTCGACCAATCACAAACGCGCAATTTTGAATTACAAATGGTTTCTAGGTGGAAAAACTGTATGACAGCACCTGTCAGCAGTTTATTCGAGTTTACCCGCGGCAAAACTTGACAGCTGTTGTCAACAATGTGAAAAAAATCGAAAAAACACAATGCTAAGTAATATTTTTTAACAAAATGCATTCGTGCAGGTGCAAAAATCCTCCTCTTCGACTCGGATTTTTGTTGCCACCAGCACTCATGCTTTTTGTTAAAATATTACTTAGCAACGTGTTTTTTCGATTCTTTTCGGAAAAATTAAATGCCCTTATGATATTACTTACGATAAATTACCACAACGAATTACACAATTATTGCCGGATTAAGTCTTTTATCTATGATTAACCTGTTGAACACCATGCATGCAGTGCAGCCAACATAAGCGCGCGAAATACAGTGCCCTGGGTATGCGCATGTGTGGAACGCTATTTTACTCAAGTTTTACTTCACGTAGAGTAAATAATTATTGCATACTCAAAAATGATTTAGGTTAAATGCAAAATGAGTAAATCAATTAATTTTAATGCACTATTTAGTTAATTTTTAAAAATTACCAAATATTGAGCATAATTTCAAAAAAACTTACTCAAAAAAATAACTCAAATTTGTTTACTCAATTTCTTTCGCACTTTACTCTTTACGATTTTTTACTGTGTATATACAGAGGACTGCATAAAAAACGGCCATTGCCATAGCATCGTTATTCCTTATCCGATTTTCAAAATTCAAAAACCAGTTTAAATGGTATGATGTCTTCTATGATTTGACGGTTAAACATATTTTTTTTATTATGATGCTTGTGAGCACTGATAGTCAACTTTTATTTTTCAAATGACAACTATATTTTTTTATTATTTTTTTGCATTTCTTATGCTTCTCTGAGCATAAGGGTATATCAATATCATAATTTTAATTATAAAACACGAAGAAAATTTTTAAATATCACATTATTCATTTTTAAAATAATTATGTGTCTAATCTTGTAAAACGGTTTGGTTATTTAGTTATTTACATTTCTTTTATGAACTGAAGCCTGACGTACACAGAGAAAAAAGCCGTAACCATGGATACGCATATTATTAAATTGTAAGCATTTTGTGGGTGTCCTGATGCTACTGCGATATGTAAAAATTTTCGCAGTTTTATTTTTTTTCTTCGTGTTTTATAATTAAAATTATGATATTGATATACCTTTATGCTCAGAAAAGCATAAGAAATGCGAAAAAATTATAAAAAAATATAGTTGTCATTTGAAAAATAAAAGTTGACTATCAAGTGCTCACGAGCATCATAATAAAAAAAATATTTTTAACCGCCGAATCATAGAAGACATCATACCATTCAAACTGGTTTTTGAATTTTGAAAATCGGATAAGGAATAACGATGCTACAGCAATGGCCGTTTTTTATGCAGTCCTCTGTATATATATATAATAATAATATATATACATACATAACAAAATAACAAAAAAAATATCAAACAAAATAAAATGAACTGACAACATAATAACAACAAAAATAAACTAGGTTTGAATTTAAAATGTTAAAAATTATGGAAATTTACAAGTAAAAATTTAAAAAGAAAAAGAAAAGAAAACTTTCTTCTTTTCCACTTTTATATATCACTTGCAAATTTCCATAGTTAAAAAAAAATTATATTTTTTTCATACTGTGTATAAATTTAAAATACGTTTTAATAAAAAATGCTTAAAATCCATTTTTGATAAAGTTTGACAAAATGTTATTCCAAAAAACAATGCTTTTAGCATGTTTTACTAAAAACACTTCAAATCTAGCGATTTATATCAAATTTTGACCAAATTATCTACCAAAAAAATTTATGGTAGTGGAAACACTGGTTAGAAGTCAACTGTCATTGTCTCCCACCTAATAACTTTTACAACTTTTCATAGGGGGTGCCGAACTTTTCCAACTTTTCCAACTTTTCGACCGAACTTTTCCTTGTTTGCAACACTAATGAAATTTAAACCAAAACTTAAATATTAGTTAAAAAATCGTGGGTACTTAAAAAATCAGATTTAATTTTATAAGATAATTATTACCAAAAAAAGTGATATTTTTATAGAAAAATTATCAACATTTTTTAGTAAAATGCATACTAACTAAGATATTTTAAAGTTTCAAGTTAAATGACTCACCCTGTATAAAACATCACCAATATAGTAGGGATGTTCTAAATAATGACCAAAACCTGTGTTACATGTATTCAAAACATCTAATGATCTAAATTGACAGGTTATTAAACAAAGTATAATATTTCAAAAATAAATAAGGAAGGAAAACTCAATATCTTATTTTTCTTTAAAAAAGATCCACAAGATTCTGTTGTACATAAACCAAAAATACATCTTATTGCTTAAGGCTAAAGCAAAATAATAACCTGATAACCTCAAGTGTTATGCCAAGAAACTTAAAATTGGTTACCTGTTCAATACTTTTGTTATTTAAACTTATTAAGGAACTAGAAGTATATTGATTTGCAGTAAAAAAAATGCATCATATAAGTTTTTTCCTGATTAAAAACAAGTTATTTACTCCCAGATAAGACGCTATATTATCCAAATTAAGTTGTAGTTCTTTAGCCATGGTGTCAGGATTTTTATTTTTTGTAACAACTGTTATATCATCTGCAAAACATACGAACGTACTAGACATAATGTTATTAAAATCATTTAAATACAATAAAATAATAATAATAATTTTCTACAGCCATGTATTGGGATTGGCTATCGTTTTGGGACAAAAGTATATTTTTTTATATAAGTATTATGGACCAATTTACCAAAAAAATTTTGATACCCCATTCAACAAAAATTTAAAAACCTTCCCCTAGACGTCGCGACTCGCTGGGCATCCCCAACACCCCTCCAAAAAAAGACCTCGAACACCCCAGCCACTTCGCGGCCTCGCTGCGCAAAGATACGCTGGGAGCGTCTACTGGGTCCCTGAGACCCTGGGGAGCGCGCAGGGACTCCCTGGGAGGCTCCAAGGACTTTCTGCAAGTCCCTGGTGGGATGCGAAGAAATTCCCGAAATTACTCCACCGATTCCCTGGACGGCAGGAGGAACTCCTGGGACCCTAGCAGAAGGGGGAGCTCGGGAAGTTCCGTGGGATGGGAGGAACCTATTTGGGAGGAAAAAAAGGTACCACGATTTTCTGTTTTAATGTTGTAACTGACACACTGTATTTTTTCTCTCTATGTTTTCGTGTTTCTAATTTAAATATGTTTTATTTTAGGTAAGGATCTTTGTTTTCATATGAGTAAGTAAAGATTTTAAAAGTATATATTTAAAAAAAAAATTAAAATTTCTCTTATGAAAATCGGAACCAGCATACTCGTAAAAATCAGCTATAAACAAAACTTGAACTTGATTTAACAATAAAAATTTGCTCCACATCTTAAACGTCAGCTGTTGTTTATCGGTAAAATGAAAACGGGCGCGGTCCATGGTGTATAGCAATTACGCGTCTATAAAATCGCTTTTTTCACTTGAAAACATAAAAAATTTCGAGTGGGTCGATTGTGTTATAATTTTTATGTATAGTGACTCCCACTGAGTAATTAGATTAATTAATATAAGTTAAGTGCACGTGTATTAGAGTTTTTCCAAGAAGACTAAATGTGGGGAGAAGAGAGTATTGCTAAAATTCCAAATACGTTTGTCCTGTCATATTTTTGTCAAAGAAAAAACACTGCCCTACTATGGAGAAAGGCAGTAACTGCAAAAAAATGCAAAATGCGGAGTCATGTCAAATTTAAATTTTGAATAATGTTTTCGGTGAAAAGAGTAGGAGAATAAACATATTACAAAATAAAAGAACAAAATGAAATAAAATCGTCAAAAAGCTGAATTTTGGTCTTCCACTAAAAAATTCATAATTTAGCCATTTTTCCATGTATTTTTATCAACATTAGCTTGTGTTTTTTGTAAAAATGTCATCTTCACGAAAAAAAATTCTAACTGAAACCTTTCCCAGGATGATATGTAAATTCTCGACCTCAATTTTTGCCGAAAAAACGAACTTTTTAAATTATTAAAATCAATAGCGCCAAAATAAAGTTTTAGAGAGCTCAATTACCTTCAATTTAAGGGCTTTTAAGTAGTGAATATTTGTTTTAAATTTTATGCAAGAAATATAAGAAATATAAAATGTTTTTTATATATCGACACTTTTGCTATTTGTAGAAAACAAAAAACAATAATTAACTAAAAATGTTTGATCTTGAAATGAAGTATTTTAAGAAAGTTTATGAACATTTCTTCTATAAACATTTTTTAATTTTACCAAAAAAAGTCTTTTAATAAAAACTATAAAAGGGAGGTGGGAATTTTTAATTGAATAATAAATTATAACCGAAATTGTAACCAAAAGGAAGTACTTCTCCTTTATTTGGTCTTCTTGGATTTATTAAAAAAGCCATATTATTTAGTGTAAGACTTTTAAGTTCGATAGTGTTATAAATCTAAAGCTCAATCCACCCACCCTTTACCAGAGTAATTAAATTTCATAGATCTCATGTTTTTAATTTTATCGACTTTGATTTATAGTCTCGATATTATGGATTTTCTTACTTACAATTAGTACGAGTAAAAGACTTTAATTTACAATAATAAATCAAGAAATATATTAAAAATTACAAAACTGTTGTACCTGCTTATTAAACAACTTTCTTGCTGCCCACAATTTTTTTCTTCTAATTTTTGCTATAATATGCATAATTTATATGGTTTTTTTCACCGTTACTTAACCCACGTGTGCAATTTTTAATGTCAACTTGCCGTTTTTGTGTGGAGATCAGAATAATAATAATCATTTCTACTTATGATGAACTTATGTAATAATATAAAATGGGTATGTCTGTTTTTTAATGTGAATGTTGCACTCTTAAAGGTGCGGTGCTCGGAAAGGACAGGGGTTAAAGTTGTAAAAAAAATCCTTGAAATAATACAAAAACAATATTATGTTATTCGGTAATAGAAAATTGTAAGTTTATTATATGATAAAATTGCCATTCTTACATAAAGAAGCTTAATGTGTGGATGGGACGGCAGTTGGTAGGCATTAAAATAAAATTTATTGTTTGGGTCACGGATGATAAAAGTGTGATTGGCACCATACAGAGTTAATAAAAAACATAGTACATGAGTCCGTACGCAGAAAATTTAATAAAACAGTTATTTCAACATACCTGGATTGCTAAAGAAAGATGTGTTTGATACCACATAAAATAATATATCATAATCAAAGAAATGTTCTTTATAACAATTAAATCATATTATTCGTATATGCCAATTACGCATCAACGTGTGTATAAAATAACAAAATATTAATAAATAAATAAATATAAATAAATGAATAAAAAAGCCCCACACAAGTTCGCATTGATCTTTCCTTAACGGGTGAGGTCGTCCGCGTTATATCGGCAAGGTTTTTTCGTATTGTGTTTTATTATATTGTGTTTTCGAAATTTTATTTGAATAAAACTAAAAAAACTGAATGGATTTCTTAAGAAACCTAATTTTACCCATAAAAAATGTTTATTTATTTACCTATAAAAGTAAAGCAAAATATTTTCAAAATTAATCCCGGAGCATTCGCCATTTTTTGAAAAAAATAGTCCATTACTAATAAAATATTCTATGACCCCCCAAATAACACTTTTTTAACAATATGTGGGGAACGGAAAAAGATATCAATTTGAAGTTTTAAAAGCGTTTATATTTAATTTAGGTCTATTTCTCTAAAATAGTTTAGTCAAGAAAGGCAACGTAATAAATTAGTAATAAAAATTGTTAATTAAAATATTCTTGGTTTATTAAATTGTTACAGTTGCGCATTCTTTTTGTTATTAAAATATTTTAAAACATATTTTTTTAATTTTTTTGTCTTCAATGAGTTAGTGGACCACAAATGTAAAACACCCTGTATATAATAAATAGCATTTTTACATTATTATAATAGCTGTATGTGGCGCCATCTAGTATAATATCCAAGAAAGTATGTTAAACAATTTCTCAAGACACGTAAAACTTTTACCGTTCTTTGAACTACTTTTAGCAGTTCTCGCGAGATGGCGCCACACATATTATTTCTTTAAAGCATACAAGTACCTATACATAATTTTAGAAATTTTAAACAATAACTTTTTTGCTATTTTTTATATTAATATCTATGCCTAATTACACTATAGGTAAATTTTTTACTTTTGAAATATCACAGCTAAACGTTCGGAAACGTATCAGGTCTAAAAAAAATTTTCTATTGGAAATCCGATGCAGGGACACACTGTATACTGGTATATTATAATTTGTAAAACAATATAATTCACCTCTTGTGCCAACAGTTTTATGCTTTTTATTTCATTTAATATAATATCCTGAATTATACTCAATAAAAAAAATCAGCAAAAAAACGTTTCAAATTTCCCAAATTATCTAAGAAAAACCCTTAGGGACACGTGTATCTTTTGATCAATTAACTTCAAATTTTGCAAGAATTTGTTATTTTTTTAATTTGGAACCAATGTGTTGGGTTTTAAAAAAAAATATTCAGGGTGTTTCCAATATCTTTGAATTTTGACCTGATACAGCTAAACCAAGCACGGATTTTTAATATACGACCAAAAATTAAGTGTCCGAGCGATTAGCTGTGATATTTTCACCTCCCTACAGTGTTATTAATAAAATTTTGTTTTAATTGTTAAATGTTACTTCTTAGCAAAATCTGAATATTAAGGTGAAAAGTTTTCAAAATTTCTTATAATAAATCGTACAAATTTATTTATAAAATGTATTGGTATATATTTTTTCAATATATAAATTATTAAGACCTAAATTAAGTTCATGTCTAATTTATTACCAAACGATATTTTTTAAATTAAATATTAAAATAAAATGTCAATATGAACCTATTAATATATAATAAATATATTTACTAGAATTTTAAATTTATAAAATATCTTCATGACCCGTCTCTATGTCATTTTCAGTGTTTTGTATAATCATAAATAACTTTTATTGTAGATAGTACGATTCTCTACAGAGAAGTCTAACAAGTTTTTGCTGTATCTGAAATACACTCACAGGCAAAATAATCGATCCACACAAATTTTCGATGAATTTCAATCGCAAATAATTTTTTTATTTGATGTCGGATTTAAACGAATATTAAAGAATATTGTAGATAAATTAATGGACAATCGCTCACATTTTAAAAAATTATTAAAAAAATAGACGTACGTTTATAATATACAGGTTTAAACAAAAAGATGTTTTTTACCATAAGTTTAAGACACTCTGGCAAAACCGTATATTGTTCTAAATTAAGTTTTATTTATCAAGTCACATCTATTCTTAACAGTTTTGTTTTTGGTTCACCTCGATATATTTCTTCAATATACGGTTTTGCCACTCTACAGAGTGTCTTAAACTTATGGTAAAAAACATCTCTTTGTTTAAACCTGTATATTATAAACGAACGTCTATTTTTTAGTAATTTTTTAAAATGTGAGCGATTGTTCATTAATTTATCTACAATATTCTTTAAAATTCGTTTAAATCCCACATCAAATAAAAAAATTATTTGCGATTGAAATTTTATTAATTTTTAAAATTTGAGCGATTATCCATTAATGAATCTACAATATTCTTTAATATTTGTTTAAATCCGAAATCAAATAAAAAAGTTAGCATCAGACATATTTAACGTCGCAATCGAAATACATCACGAACAGGGGCGTACTGACAAGATATCCTTCAGACATAACAATAGCAACCGGTCAATCGCAATAAGAAAATAACTAACATACCCACCCCCCATTCACGAATACCAATTGGTACTACTAAGGCCTAGGTTGAGGAGGATTCCGGATTGTACTTAGTTTTGGGTCAGTTCAATGTCCTCCAAAAACCCTTCCTAAACTGGACGTATGGCCCGACCCGGCTGACAAAAATCCCGGGAGCGGCCTTAACCTTTGACACTGTCATACACGAACTCCTAGGGTGGATCTACCAGCCGGCGTAAAAACTTCGGATCCAACAAACACAGGTAATGCTGTGATTTGGCGGGATACGCAGGAGAACGGAAAGGGGGTAAAATAACCCCGGGAGATCAGTGGATGATAATATATCTGGGGCCTGCC